TCCACGGTTTGATAGATCTCCTGTTTCTCATCTGTGGCTTAGCCTGTAATGGTTCAAAGATGCTGAAATACCCGTGTTCTCCTCCCTCCCCTGAGTGTATATACTCTGCCTCTTGGACAATCCTGTCATGAGCTCCAGAAAATACAGTATAATAAGGTATTTTCAGTGTTTCTGTGCCAGATGACAGAGAGGAGCTGTTAAGCAGGCGTTATTTGCCCCATAGGAAAGGAATTGTCTTTGATCCATCTTTACAATCTTCTAAGAATCTGTTGACTGATCACTTCATGCCCAGTGTTTTTCCAGATCCTTTCTAAAGAGTGTGTAATCTAATAACAGCAGTCTCTGTCATGAGAAATTGCTTGGTTGAACTCTGTCCCCGGGACTGTCTGCTACAGCCCTAGACCAGTTCTCTATTAAGTTTTGATTGAATGCCCTAAGACTTACCTCAGGATGGAGTCCTCAAATTTTAATTAAGAGCAAGCACTTGCCAGATTAACCCAGAAAGGAGAGAAACTAAACTCAGACTATGCTGTGGGCTACCATGAGGGTTGGCTGGAGCGCTGATCTCCCTCAGTGGTTTGGTCGTCAGCTTACAGCCTGCGTGTGCTCTGATTCTGCAACTTTATCAATTCTTCTGAACAAGACGGGGCAAGTCCCAGGCCAAGTGTCACTGACCGAGTCACATCTACAGCGCTCAGGGATTTCCCCACTGCTGATTTTTCTGAGAGTTGTCCAAACAGGACAAAGGAGCATAGTTAAGAGTTGAGCAATGCAGACTATCGGAGCTCCCACGCTCAAGCTCACTGCCTAGCATTTGACAAATGTAGATATACTCCCAGGGTATTAGCTGGACATCGTGATGTTGATGGAATGGAACTATCATTGAATTACTGTCTTGAGTAGCTGAAAGCTGAGAAACTCTGTTTCCAGGTGCACGTTGTGATTCAAAAAGTAATTGCATGATTCTGAACTCATTTGGATTGGTTTTGCTGATTTCTGCAGGATTAGTCATAGCTTAAAGTTATGCCCCTGCTTATGTAAGTTGCTGAGTAGGACAGAGAGGTCAAACTGCAGCAGCCTGAGGAAGAGCTAGAACAGAACTCAACTTGTGTGATTAATAGGCCTGTCTCTGCCGAAAAGGCCTTCTCACCCCATCCATTGCAAGAAACCATACAAGTACACTGTCATTCCTGGATTAGTTAGACATTTTTCAAATGGCTAATACAACAAAGTAGTTCCAGTCAAGCTCTCTAACTCAGTAATTGCCAGTGTGTCTGGTTCATAATTTCTCTCTTTTTTTCCCATATTATAGTCCTTCTGTAGGAACAGATGACAGAGCCAACAGAGTATCCTGAGTCGCTGCTGGGTTGCCTGTGCCCAAGGACAAGCCACACACTCTGGATGGTCATCAAACTGCCATCCACAAACCGGCCTGGACAGTCTCCAGTGGATGCTGTTGTCATCAAGCCTCTGAAATTCTCCCAGTGTTTCCTTTTTCTTTGACATAGCAACCTGAGCATTTTGTTCTGAGCTAGAAAGGTTGGCTGTCCCTTGGTTTATGTAAAGGGATGGGTGAATATGTTAGCCCAAGTGGCACAGTTGGAATACGAGCAGGGTTTGTATAGATTGTGGAAGTTTATGCTTGGCAAAATGTAAACACATGCCATAATATCAAGCTTATTTCTCCATTGGGATTCCAGATTCTTTATAGAATAGAACCATAGAATCGTTTAGGTTGGAAAAGACCTTTAAGATCATCAAGCCCAACCATTAACCTAACCCTGCCATCCCACCACTAAACCATGTCCCTAAGCACCTCGTCTACCTGTGTTTTAAATACCTCCAGGGATGGGGACTCCACCACTTCCCTGGGCAGTCCATTCCAATGCTTGACAACCTTTCATTGAAAAAATGTTCCTAATGTCCAACCTAAACCTGAGCTGGTGCAACTTGAGGCCATTTTCCCTCGTCCTATCGCCCGTTACCTGGGAGAAGAGACCAACACCCACCTCATTACAGCCTCCTGTCAGGCAGTTGTAGAGGGCGGTAAGGTCTCCCCTCAGCCTCCTTTTTTCCAGGCTGAACAACCCCAGTTCCCTCAGCCGTTCCTCATCAGACTTGGGCTCCACATCCCTCACCAGCTTTGTTGCCCTTCTCTGGACATGTTCCAGTAACTTAACAACTTTGATTTCTTGTAGCCATTTGATTCATGAAAAAAGGTTAAACCAGTGACACTGAGTCTATGAAAAGGTGCAAGGACTTAAATTTACCATGTGAATGGTCCTGTTGATCTCTTAACTGCTTATGCACACAAAGTGTTTTCAGGACCAAAATCATAGGTGAAAAGTTGTCCCCATTCCAATCACAGACAATTTTCAGTTGATGAGACATTGCTTTGTCTCTTGCATCAAACTGTCAAGCTGAAATAAATTAGCAAAGCTTCCACAATTACATAAAGAAAAATAACCCCAGAAATTCTACAGGTCTCATAATCCCACAATTTATGAGACAATACTAGGTGTTATTAACTAAAGTGTAGTAGCTTGGATGCAAAATTGCTGTAACACACATGCTATTATAAATATTTCAAAGGACAGAGTAATTTACTTTATTATTTTAATTACTCTTTTTGCTTTTCATTCTGGAAAAAATGCTGGGGTTTTGCTTTTTTTTTTTTTTCTAAAAAAATCTAACCTATGTAGAATACTTAATTTAAAATGTTTAATTGCATTTAATATCTGTAAAAGATATCCTACCAGGACAAAGCAAATTTGATATGCATAACTTTATGTATATATATCTGACCGGATTTCTTTGTATTTGCAGCCCCTCCTTCTTAGTCTGAGAAGTGGGACAGCGACAGTGCTACATTTGTATTACGTATGAATGTAAGATATATGTAATAAAATAAAGAAAGGGAGCTTGGTGGTGTTCTGTACCTCTGTGTTCCTTATCAGAAAGTTAATTATTTTCACCCTTCCTGATATGGAAATTCTCAGCGGGTTAGTTAGAACAACAAACAAACACAATCTGAGTTTGTATGTAGAGTGGAATCCAAGAAAAAAATTATTTCTTCCTTCCAGCCCCGAATATAAGATTTAAAACACTTAAATGCTATTTTTCTTAACAGTTGGAGAACACTACGTTTCATGGTAGAGTTCCATATTTCTAGGGAGGTTGTTACAATGAAATTTCTCTTATATTTGTGAAAAACCAAAACATAGATTACATCTCACCAAAAGGTTGTTGGTTTGTTTTTTTTTTTTCCTTACTGACTTACTGCATGGGGAAACATTTGAATGTGGGGTTATCTTAACCATTTTGAAAGTGAAAAGTCTTATGTTTATCCCAGCTGTTGTGGGCATGATCTTTGTGACGTGGATACTTCCGGAAACCAGCACAGAGCAGAGAAACGAGAGAAAGGGCAGGGAATGCTGCTGAAACTTAGAAGTAAAACCAAGCAAATGCAGATATATGTGTTAAGCAGAAGGATTCATGCCTTTCATATTGTTACAGGTATAGAAATGGAAGGATAACTTAACACTTTTTTTTTTTCCTGGTAATGAGCACACACATAGAATCAGAGAGAGAAATGTAGTATGAAAGTTTCTATTTAATTTGCATCAGAATTATTATTCTTGAGGCCAGTAACTTACTTAGTGAATCAGAATGTCAGCGACAAGCCATAGTTTTATAAGGCAAATAATAAGCTGTGGTTGCTCACACTTGTGTCCCATTTTCCCTCTCCAACCCTCTGCAATGTGTGTGTGTAGCAAATACATGAAGCAAGTCTAATACCCCAAGGAAGTCTGGCTAATATATTTCTATTGAGGTAGTTTTAAAGGAAAGTGTGAAGTCTATGACCAAGTTACAGTGATACAGATGTGCTTGCCTGAACTTGCAGTGAGAGTGAGTGTTTTATCACTGCGAAAAGATTTCCATTTACCTTCCAAATGACCTCTCTGGCATACTGAAGGTACCCCATGGCAACCGCTTGATCTGTTGGGAAAGGAACGTGCTAGACCTAAAAGCTGCAGAGTCTTAAGGAAAGGTCCAAGTTGAGTCCCATGCTGTTGGCCTTGCTGGATTAAAAATACAGGAAGTTTATGGCTGACCTGGACATTGCGCTATTGATCTCCAGTGAGATCAGTGCATACTGGTTGCACTGGTGCAAATGGTTGGGTTGGTAGGAGGGGTCTGCATAGAAAGCATTTGATGGGAAAATGTGTAGAATCATAGAATCATTTAGGTTGGAAAAGACCTTTAAGATCATCAAGCCCAACCATTAACCTAACCCTGCCATCCCACCACTAAACCATGTCCCTAAGCACCTCGTCTACCTGTGTTTTAAATACCTCCAGGGATGGGGACTCCACCACTTCCCTGGGCAGCCCGTTCCAATGCTTGACAACCCTTTCGGTGAAGAGATTTTTCCTAATGTCTAATGTAAACCTTTCCTGGCACAACTTGAGGCCATACAGACCAGGCTGGAATTCATGTCTACGTGTACCCAGCATGCAAGGAATTGTTACCTAGGGGCATCAGGCGTTATGCTCAAAACCGTGTTTAAGGGCAAAGAGGAAGCATGCCTCACATGTAAGTAATTAGATCTAATTGCTATGGAAAAAGAAAATGACAGTGCAGTGCAAATTTCATACACGGTGCTGGGTTTCTACTCTTTTCCTGCTCACCCTTCTGTGGCTCCCCGGGGTCTGAAGGTTGGCAGTTTCATTCTGGGGCATGTGGGGGTGTCACAGCAAGCTGTTGGCATCTGGAGTGCTCCACTGGGACAAATCTGACATTCATGTGGATGGTTTCTTCTTCCTTGCTCCAGGATCCATGTGGGGTCATTTTTTGTTTGCTAACAAGGTTTTACACTCTTGATCTTTCTTCATTGGTCCACAGCTCTGTTACATCCAAATTTGGGATGAGTTATGGGTGAGTTGTTTGTAGCTGTGGAGTCTCCAGTGCCAAGGCTGTGCCCTGCTCCTGCTGCTTACCTGTACTCCGTGCCGCACCCCATGTCTCCACTCACGGTTACATGGGTAGTTATGAAATGGCTGTCCAGAGGTGTAACCTGCTCTTTTGGGGTAATGGATTGTGAGGGTTGTTTTAGAGATGAACTAGGCCACTTGTTACTGTGGACCAGGTTCCTGTCAGTGCTGGATATCATTTGACTGACAATATTTCAATGTGTTTGTGAGAGAAGGATGAAGCTGATAACCAAAAAACCCCTCTTTTGTCTAAACTGGAAAACCTAGAAACCTCGTTGGAGGACTTTCTGTGGAGTTAATTTAGCATTAAGAATTAAAGACATTATTGGTTTTGGTAACAGATCATAGAATCATAGAATCACAGAATGCTTTGGGTTTGAAGGGACCTTTAGAGGTCCTGCAGTGAGCAGGAACATCTTCAGCTCGGTCAGGTTGCTCAGAGCCCCATCCAACCTGACCTTGAATGTTTCCAGGGATGGGGCCTTTGCCACCTCGCTGGGCAACCCGTTCCAGTGTTTCACCACCCTCATTGTAAAGAATGTCTTCCTTCTATCTAGTCTAAATCTACCCTGTTTTAGTTTAAAACCATTACTCTTTGTCCTGTCACAACCGGCTCTGCTAAAAGCCAGAGCGTCCAGATGCTGGATGATCAACAGCGGTTGCGGGGAGCTACGCTTATTAGGATTGTTTGGGGCTGGATATTTATCCATATCCATACACAGGGCTGTA